TTCAAAAAACAATAAACATTAAATTGTATGATTTTATAAAATGAGATTAAGAAAAAAAATGTGTTCTTTAAAGAAAAGGTGAGATAAAAGTATACTTGCGAATGAATATGAAATAAAAGCGTAATAAGTAAAATTGATATGATATAATTAAAATATCCAAATTTTAGTTGGTAAGATTGATATAACGGATATTTGAATGGACAAGTAGTGTTTTTGTTGGATAATATATATACTAGTATTCGACACAGATGTAAATAAAGTGTTATAAGTTATTTGTATACATATAATTTTGAAATCATAAATTAGATAATGATATTGTATTTTAAACATGGAGTATTATAAGTTATATTTATGCATTAAAATTATAAGTTAGATAATGATATTATGATTTTAAATTCGATCATTGGTTAAAATAAATAGTACATAATGATTTAATTGCATATGAATCACTATATTAATTGCATAAAATATAATAAATAATATAATTTTATAATTTTGAGGATCAAGACCAATTAATTAGCTAAAACATAGTATTAAATTATTATAACAATTGCATATGGATTTTAATGAATTTTACTATGACATTAATTAAAATAAATTAATTTATTTAAAAAAATAATCACTTAATCAGATAATAAATATAATATTAATTTTATGAATAAAAAACTTGAAAAAACTTTTTAGAATACTATTTTTTATGTTTACGTAACTTCTATATATCATTTAGTGTAAAATATAATTATTAGTGACAGTGTTAATTATAACAAATATATGATACAATAACAAAATATAATTATTACTCAATTAATATAAAATATAGCGTTTTTGTCTTAATTAACCCAAAAAAAGTCTAAGAAAATGTTTTATCATTTATAATGGGATAGTGTGGATAATAATAATAATAATAATAATAATAATAATAATAATAATAATAATAATAATAATAATAATAATAATAATAATTTTTGAATGAGTAAACATCAGCGAAGAGACTTATTGCATTCATCCTTGATTACATGTATTGGTTCAGCTAAAGGTCTCAATATCTGCAGAATTTCAAACCTATGATTTGGTAGTGAATCGTAAAAAGATTTTGAATAATTGATTTTTTTCTTATTTGCAATACAATTCTCTTATTTATCAAAATTTGAAAGTGATCATTAGAAATTGCAATTATTATGCTGACACTGATCAAGTCCTATTAATTAAAAAGAAAATGGGTAATTAACGTTCCAACTTGAGACACTATCATGCATTTTGCAAAAATTCTATGGCGCCATCGAATAATTTTGTTATAGAGCTATCGATCAGTTCATGTATAGACACATATCCAAAGTGTATTTACTGTAGGACACGCATCAATACACTATTTGTGAATAACTATGAATTGCTCCATAAGTCGAACCATCAGATGGTTCTATAACAAAACTGTCGTGCAATTTTTCTAAGTTTGAATTGACAATCAAATATTTACCAAAAAAAAATAAAAATAATAATAATAATAATTAACTTAAAAAGAAAAATTATTAGCTTTATTACTGAAAAATAGTATTTTTATTTTTAATAATTTCTATAATTGTTGGATACTGCTCATGGCAGTGTGTGTTGACCAGTGAATTTAATTTCTGTTATCACTTTCCAAGTCGTGGTCATAAAGTTTGATGAGATTCTAAGCAAAAAGAACAAAAATTCCACTCCCAAGAAAATTTTCACCCAATTTTTTGTCCAATATCGACAGTTGTTTACGCTAACTCGATTATGATCAGATTATCCGAATATCATAAGATGAATTATGATGAGATTAACTAGTTATCTTGGTGCCTATTTTTTTTTAGCCAATCACGGTATCCAGAGCTATGCTCCGACTAATCCGTTGGTCGATCCGGGTCGCACACCTGACAGTGGTGGGTGAGTCTCCCAACAAGGGTTTTATGCATTCACGAGGACTCGAATCCGAGATCTTGCTTAAGCGACATCAAACTGCTTACCACTTGAACCAACCCCTGTTGGTATCTCGATCGGTGCCTAAATTTAAATAAAAAATGTTTTAAAATTAGATCTAAAGGAGACTACAATTTCCATGATTTACTAACACAAAGTTAGGTTTAAAGTTTAAACAATATTATTTTACAAGCTTGTCACAATAGATACCTATATTTGTGATTTATATTCTCTAATCACACGCAATTTGCGCATAATTTTTTACTTATGAGGGTCACTAATCCTCCCTCCAACACCATTAGATCCCTTTTATAATAAAATTAAAAAAAAAAAAAAACCAATTAAAGAATCTTGCAGGAATCCTTAAAAAAACAAAAAAACCAACTAATATTCTCACACATGCCCATTATAATAACAACACACACAGCTATTTATATTTTTTTTTTAAACTAATATATTTAGTCTTTTCCCAAAATTAAATAAATATACATATTTCCCCCCTTTCTCTCTCTCTATATATATAGAACAATTTGTATCCTTAATCTCCCTCCAAACTAAAAGAGATGAGGAACATAAACATGGCCCTCCATTTTCTTGCTCTAATTATTTTGCTTGGACTAGCAAAATCCATCAATGCTCAAGAAGTAGGTAAGCGATAGAATTTTAGGCATCGAAAATTCCAGATCGAATTCAACAGTAAGTATATGAATATTGGAAAAATTCGATCCTACCAGTCAGGGTCAGTAGGTTCGAATTTACCAAAAAAAATATATGACCGTCAGATGGGGATTCAGTAATGAGAGCTGAGAGCGCGCATTATATATATTTTTATATATTCTTTTTCATTGTTTGATGATGTTTTTTTGTCCTTATTTTGGCTTAAATTTATCCCTTTTTTTTTTTCAATTTTTACAGAGGATGAAAGGGAATTTGACTATGCAGTAAATAGTCCAAAGGGCCCAAACAATTGGGGTAAAATAAAGAAAGATTGGGTAAAATGCAATGAGGGGACTATGCAATCTCCCATAGACCTGAGCCATGAGAGGGTTAGGATAATTTCCACAACTGAGGAGAAGAATTACACAGCCTGTAATGCTACCATCACCAATAGGGGCCATGATATACAGGTAATTCATTAATTATACGAGAAATTTATTCCGTTTACCTATAATTTTTACTCCCGTTATGAAATCATTCTGTCGGAGTTTGTAACTGTTAGATCAACTATCCACGACGGTTACACGATGATCTAACGGTTACAAACCCTGACGGAATGTTATTGTTATTAAATAACCTATCATTATTATTATAATTATTAAATATGTGAAAAAATCTGGTAATGACCTATCAAAATTTGTTATTGTCTATAAATTATAACATAATTAAAAATCTATGATTTTTTTTTTAATATTTAAAATTTTCCAATTAGCTTTGTATCTTATTAATGCAGATGAAATTTCTTGGGGATGCTGGATTAATGACGATTAATGGGACTAATTATCATCTTGTGTCTGCCCATTGGCACTCTCCTTCTGAACACACAATCAATGGCAGAAGGTATTTTATTTTATTTTATTTTATTTATTTTTGTAA